TGAAAGTCAGATGGCAAGAGGGAAATCGAGTGAGCTCACTGATGGTTTTCCAGGCAGTAGCTTGGCGATGAGGATTACCTGTAATGTGCTTTTATTTTTACCCACATTAACTGCTTTTGATGCTCTTCATTTCTTCCTACTGATAGAGGTTACCTCTGGGATAATTTCAGCCTGAAGAACTTCCTACAATTTTTTTTTTTTTTTTTTTGAGACGGACTTTCGCTCTCGTTACCCAGGCTGGAGTGCAATGGCGCCATCTCGGCTCACCGCAACCTCCGCCTCCCGGGTTCAGGCAATTCTCTTGCCTCAGCCTCCCGAGTAGCTGGGATTACAGGCACGCGCCACCATGACCAGACAATTTTTTTGTATTTCTAGTAGAGACGGGGTTTCACCTTGTTGACCAGGATGGTCTCGATCTCTTGACCTCGTGATCCACCCGCCTCGGCCTCCCCAAGTGCTGGGATTACAGGCTAGAGCCACCGTGTCCGGCCCAATTTTTTAATTTTAAGTAGAGGGAGGGTTTCCTGTCCGGCTATTGTCCAGGCACTTCAGGAGGACGAGGAGGACGAGGTGGGAAAGTGACGCTGGGATTCAAAGCGTGAGCTGCCACACCCGGCTGAATCCAGCTTTGCTGGTAACAAATCATAGATTATCTCAGCTTTTCATTCCCTGAAAAAATATTTATTTCCCCTTTCTTAATAAGGATGTTTTTGCTGGGAGTGGAATTCTGGGTTGACAAAGTATGTGTTTGTGACAAGTCTCGCTCTGTCACCCAGGCTAGAGTGCAGTGGTGTGACCTCGGCTCACTGCAGCCTCCACCTCCGAGGTCAAGCACTTCTGCCTCAGTCTCCCGAGTAGCTGGGATTACAGGAATGCGCCACCACGCCTGGATAATTTTCATATTTTTAGTAGAGATGGCATTTCATCGTGTTGCCCGGGCTGGTCTCGAACTCCTAACTTCAAGTGATCCACTGCCTCAGCCTCCAAAAGTGCTGGGATTACAGGCGTGAGCCACCGAGCCCAACCGACAGAGTTTTTTAAATGTTTTTGTTGGCCGGGCGCGGTGGCTCACGCCTGTAATCCCAGCACTTTGGGAGGCCGAGGCGGGTGGATCACGAGGTCGAGAGATCGAGACCATCCTGGTCAACATGGTGAAACCCCGTCTCTACTAAAAATACAAAAAATTAGCTGGGCGTGGTGGCGCGTGCCTGTAATCCCAGCTACTCGGGAGGCTGAGGCAGGAGAATTGCCTGAACCCAGGAGGCGGAGGTTGCGGTGAGCCGAGATCGCGCCATTGCACTCCAGCCTGGGTAACAAGAGCGAAACTCCGTCTCAAAAAAAAAAAAAGAAAAAGAAAAGGTTTTTGTGCATTGCCTTTCAGCATTTTAAATATATTGTTCCATTATTTCTTTGAGGGTTAGCTGCCACCGTCTTTCCCTTGGCAGTAACGTGCCTGTTTTGTCTGGCTGCCTTCAGAGGCTTTTCTCTTTGGTTTACGTGCCTTGACTGTGGCTTTCTTTGCATTTATCCTGCTTGGCATTTACTGAACTTACTGGATCTGCGAGTTGAGGTCCTTCATTGGTTTGGAAACTCTGTGGCTGTTACCCCTTCAAACAATTCAGCTTTATTTTCTCTGTTGTCCGGGACTACAGTTACCTGTACAGATGACCACTCCGTATTACCCCCCAGGTCTCTGATACTCCGTTCTGGTTTTTAATAGTTTCTTCGTTCTTTTTTTTGAAACAGGGTCCCACTCTGTCACCCAGGCTGGAGTGCGGCGTGTGGTCATAGTTCACAGCAACCTCGGGCTCCTGGGCTCAAGTGATCCTCCCACCTCAGCCTCCTGAGTAGCTGGGACCACAGGCCCTCACCACGCCAGGCTAGTCTTCTGATTTGTAGAGATGGAGTCTGACCGTGTTGCCCAGGTTGGGCTCAGGTGATCCTCCTGCCTGGGCCTCCCAGTGTGCTGGGATTACAGGTGTCAGCCTGTTTTTATGGTTTAAATTTGCTGTGAATTTTCTAGTGTCTTGAGATGAAAGTTTAGACCATCAGCCTTAAACCTTTTTTTTTGGAAATGGAGTTTCACACTTGTTGCCCAGGCTGGAGTGCAATGCTGCGATCTTGGCTCACTGCAACGTCTGCCTCCCGGGTTCAGGAGATTCTCGTGCCTCAGCCTCCCGAGTAGCTGGGATTACAGGCACGCGCCACCACATCAGGCCAATTCTTTTATTTTCAGTAGAGATGGGGTTTCTCCATGTTGGTCAGGCTGGTCTCGAACTCCTGACCACATGATCTGCCCACCTTGGCCTCCCAACGTGCTGGGATTACAGGCGTGATCCACGGTGCCCAGCCCTAAACCTTTCTTATTTTCTAATCTATGCACAAAAAATTCCCTCTCAACCCTTCTCTAGGAAGATCCCCAAGTTTCGGTCTAATTTCAGTATCGTTTCAGGTCAAGGTACTTCCTGATTTCCACATGGTTTCTTTAGGCTACATTTATGTAAAAGTATTTCTTAAACATCTGGGGATTTTGATTCTCTTTGATTCCCCTGTAGCCACAGAAGACACTGCACGAATCCTCCTCTGGAGCTGCTCGGTGGTTTATAAATTGCCTTTTGTGCGCATTGCTTCCTGTGCTTGAAGAGAGTACGTGTCGGGCAGTGTTTGATGCACGTCAGACTTACTGTTCATGCTCTAATCTGACCATCCGCGTCTTTTAATCGGAGCATTTAAATCCGTTTACACTTCGTGTAACTGTTGACACGGTTGAGTTTAAGTCTCCATCTTCCTGGGTTTTTACTTTCATTTTTGAAGAGCATAAAATTGCTTTGCTAGTACTTTCTCCTGGTTGCTTTTAAGGGTTTTTTTTTTCTTCTGGCCGGGCGTGGTGGCTCACGCCTGTGATCCCAGCACTTTGGGAGGCTGAGGTCGGGGAATCACCCGAGGTGAGGAGTTCCAGATGAGCCTGGCCAACATGGAGAAACCCTGTCTCTCCTAAAAATACAAATACCAGGGCCGGGCGCGGTGGCTCACGCCTGTAATCCCAGCACTTTGGGAGGCTGAGGCGGGTGGATCACGAGGTCGAGAGATCGAGACCATCCCGGTCAACATGGTGAAACCCCGTCTCTACTAAAAATACAAAATTAGCTGGGCATGGTGGTGCGTGCCTGTAATCCCAGCTACTCAGGAGGCTGAGGCAGGAGAATTGCCTGAACCCGGGAGGCGGAGGTTGCGGTGAGCCGAGATGGCGCCATTGCACTCCAGCCTGGGTAACAAGAGCGAAATTTCGTCTCAAAAAAAAAAAAAAAAAAAGGTATTTTTCCATTTTTTTATGCAGCAGTCTGGCTTCATGTGACGTCTGACTTACGATACTTTTTCAGCCCCACTTTGGATCACAGTTTTGTTTCTTAGGGTGTGTGGGTCACCGTCTTTCATTCATTCTGGAAAATTCTCGGCTGTCAGCTCTTCAGCTGTAGCTCGAGTCTCATCGTCTTGTCTCTGGGACTGCACTTACAGGTACGCCGTACCCTTTGACTTGGTTGCATGTTCTGCCCTGTTTTTCCACCGTTTTCGCTCTTGTGCTTCACCTTGGGTAATTTTCTTTTTTTTTTAGGCGGAGTTTCGCTCTTGTTGCCCAGGCTGGAGAGCAGTGTCGGGATCTTGGCTCACTGCTCCGCCTCCCCCGTTCCCATGATTCTCCTGCCTCAGCCTCCTGAGTAGCTGGGACTACAGGCGCCCCCACCACACCTGGCTCATTTTTCTACTTTTAGTAGAGACGGGGTTTCGCCATGTTGGCCGGGATGGTCTCGATCTCCTGACCTCATGATCGGCCCACCTTGTCCTCCCAAAGTGCTGGGATGACAGGTGTGAGCGCCGCGCCCGGCCTGTAAGTTTGGAATGGATGCTGGACGTTGTCAATGGCCAGTAGTGGGAGCTCATGCTGGTGTGGTCTCCACAGGGCTGTGTTTTCTTTTGGACACGGCCAGAGCATCAGCAGCCCACGGAGACCCTAGCAGAGTTTTGTTTGCGGAGTGAAGAGGGCTCCTTCAGCTCTGTCCGGCCCAGGGGTGCTGCCCTAGCTGCTGGAGCGTGGCCCCGCTGGCGTCTTAATTAGGAACCCAGAGTGTTTCCTTTTAATATGTTTTTGTAGAGATGAGGTCTCGCTGTGTTGCCCAGGCTGGTCTTGAACTCCTGGCCCTGAGCAGTCCTGCCTCAAGCCTGAAAAGTGCTGGGGTTGCCTGTGTGAGCCACCATGCCTGGCCCCAGGTGTTCAAGGCCCCCACCTCCACAGGGCTGCGTCTCCACGGCCTGCTCCCGGCACCACAGGCCGTGAAAATCCGCTCAGTCTTCGGGACCTACTGTTTGCTTTGTTTGTTTTTTGTTAACAGAATCAGCGGCACAATCTCAGCTCACTGCAACTTCCACCTCTCAGGTTCAGGCAATTCTCCTGCCTCAGCCTCCTGAGTAGCTGGGATTACAGGCACGCGCCACCACGCCTAATCTTTGTATTTTTAATAGAGACGGGGTTTCACCATGTTGGTCAGGCTGGTCTCGAACTCCTGACCTCAGGTGATCCGCCTTCCTCAGCCTCCCAAAGAGCTGGGGTTGACAGGTGTGAGCCGTCATGCATGTGTGCACCTGACGATGCAGCTGATGGCATGGGTCGTTTTTGCCATCAAGGCCAGAACTGGGCACTCCCTGCTTCCCCTCCATCCCTCATGTCCATGGTCCGCAGCAGCCAGCAGGGCCTCCCCACAAACTTCCGTTGCATTTGGGTTTGGGGGGGGAGCGCTGAGTCAGGGTCTTGCTGTTGCCCAGGCGGGAGGGCAGTGGTGCTGTCACCACACTCTTGACCTTGACCTCCCAGGCTTACATGCCCATTAAGGGGGGGGTCTCATGGCACTGGCAGATGACACTCGGGGCTCAGGAGTCCTCAGCCCACTGTGGCCCCCTCAGCAGGCCAGAGAGTGAAGGGGGAGCGCAGCAGCATGCACACGGGCCAGGTGCGTTCATTTCTTTATTTAAAAAAATCATCTGGGGGCGTGGTCTGAGGAGGACACCCACCCCCCATGGCTTTGGGGAGGAGGCAGGTTCCAGGAGTCACAGGGCAGAAACACGCAGGGGTTGGTGGGGGCATGGCCTGGGGCGGGAAGAGTGTGTCCCCAGCACCTGGGGGGCTCCCACGGCACCTGGCAGGTTGGGGCAATGGTATGTACAGGTGAGCAGTACCCCTGGACCCACTTGGGCCGGCCGGGGCCCCATCCTGTAGCAGGGGAGCTCTGGGGCACAGGGTCTGGGTCCCACCCAGGGAGGCTGGACAGAGTTGGACCTGGGATGCGCCCATCAGGTGGATGAGGATGGGAGCCTCGAACTACTGCCCCCCTGGGCCAGGGCGCAGCCAGCAGGGGCCACCCTACCCTTGAGCCGCTCGGAACTCGGGCCAGCTCCAGGCATCGCCCTGCAGGCTGGGGTCAGGGGGCCCCAGTGTCCCAAGGAACAAAATGAATGCCAGGTCTGGAACTGGCGGCTCTAGGAGCGGCGCCACCCAGGCCAGCCCCAGCAGGGGTGCATTGTCATGTGCAGCAAAGGGAATCCTGGGGAAGGCCCGCCGCACACTGGGGCGACTTGGGCAGGTGCCCTGAGCTGCGGGCCCATGGGCCCGGCCCAGGCCGGCACAGCCCTGTCCCCAGTCCTGAGGGATTGTCTCCACAGGGCCTGGCCACTGGCCCCGCTGCCTCCCCGGCTGCACTCATTGTGGTGAACACAGGGAAGCCCCTTCCTCATGCTGAGAAAGGTGGCGTGGAGTGGACAGTGGCCGGGGGGACACGGGGCCCTGCCCCACGCAGGGCGGCACAGCCTGGGGCTGAGGCTGTCCCCGTGGAGGAGGGACCGTGTGGGGCGGCCTAGGTGTAGAAAATGACCTCGGGGATCTGGCCGTCCTCCACAGACGTCCCGTTGTTGTTCCCGGCCGCGTAGCAGAAGGTGAAGCAGGTCTTGGCGCCCGTGGTGGGCGACTCGTGTGTCACCTTGCGCAGGCCTTTGGTGCCGTAGTGGGAGTCTGGGCCCTGTGGGGGGTACAGTGAGCTCAAGGACCACCCGGCTGGGATGCCCCGATGTGGACAGGGCAAGGCCCCAACTTGGCCAGGGTGGCCGCCTCGGGAGGTGTCTGCTGTGCCCGAGGCCTCGCAATGGGCCCCGCCCCCACCCCAGGCACACCTTGAGCGTGGCGCAGGCCGTGTAGTTGACGTTGGGCAGCACTTCCACCGGCTCCTTGAACATGACACGGAAGGTGCTGGCCGAGCCGTCGCAGCTGAAGCCCGTGTCATTCTGGCCCAGGACAGTGTTGCTGTCCGTGTGGATGATCTGGGGGGAGGGGAAGGCTCAGGCCTGGGAGCACCGGCAGGGACCCAGGGTGGGCAGGGCAGAGACCAGGGCTAGGTCTCAGGCAGGGACCAGGGCTGGATCTCAGCCAGGGTTTCATGGGGGAGGACATGGAGGGGGTAGTGGGGCCTGGGGCTGAGGGTGGGCCCGGAGGCTGTGGGGCAGGGCCTGGGGCTGGTACCTGGATGTTCACTTGGTAGTCCGTAGGCCCATGGATGGATCCGTACAGCCCAAATCCCACCACGAAGATACGCTTGTTGACTGAGAACCTGCGTGGCAGATGACAAGAGACCATGTGGACATCCAGGGACAGCCCACGGGGAGCTGGTACCAGCCCAAGTCTGCACCCCCATCATCCCCGAGTCCTCCCACCCCCATACCCAGCCTCCCCTGCAGTGCCCGGCCCCCATCATCCCCGAGTCCTCCCACCCCCATACCCAGCCTCCCCTGCAGTGCCCGGCCCCCATCATCCCCGAGTCCTCCCACCCCCTTGCCCAGCCTCCCCTCCCAGGCCAGGCCCCATCATCCCCGAGTCCTCCCACCCCCATGCCCAGCCTCCCCCGCAGTGCCCGGCCCCCATCATCCAAGCCCTCCAACACTGGGCTCCGAGCCCCACCTGATTCGGTCGCTGGTGCCGCTGTAGCCCCAGCGACTCTCCACCTGCTGGAAGCGGCTGATGCTGCATTCCTTCCCGCGCAGGCAGCAGCGGGGCCGGTCGATGAACTCCACTCGCGGCTTAGGGTTGACGGTGAAGTGCAGGAAGAGGCTGACCACCTCTCGGTCCACCAAGATGCCTGACTGTGCAGGGCCTGTGGCACAGGGCGGGTGTGGGGGGAGGGCCGGGCTGACCCCAGACCCCAATGCCCAGGAAGAGACGATCCTTCCCCCTAAGATGTCCGTGTCCGACTTTCAAGGTGCAGGGACCCAAGCAGCCCCCTGGGGAAACTGTCACCAGCCGTGGCCCCTGCTGAGTCCTCCCAGCCTTTTGGGGAGGGGCCCCAGGGCGCAGACCAGAGGCTGACAGATACGCTCACTCAGGGGCAAAGTCTCAGGGTCTGGCCCTGCTGCAGGGACCGCCTGTCACTTCACAGTGGGTGGGGGGCTCCACTACCTGATTTCTAAGGGCCGTCGGCCAGGAGGGGCCCCTGAGCTCTGCACTAGGCCCTCACCTCCCAGGCCACAGCCCCAGCTTCTAGAAGTGGCCCAGGGGTTCCTCTCCACGGTGGGCCCTGAGGACCCACCTCCCAAAGCACGCACACCCCAGGGGTGGCCAGCTCACCCCGGAAAGGCTCCGGGGGCCAGGCTCTTAATCCTGGTGCAGAAATGTGACAGGTGGAGGGGCTGTGGGCAGGGAGGGGCACCACAGGGGTCCACCATCCAGCCCACGAGTGCCGGGACACGGCAGCCACCCTCTGCTCTAATCACAGCAGCCCCCTGGTGCTGCCCGCCTAAGACAGTCACTCATCAACCAACGTGGACTCAATTCTGCCAGCCCAGTGCAGACGCCGGTTCGGTAACGTGAGAAACGGCGATGAGGGGCAAGGGAATTAGGAATTCTTTTCTGAGACCGAGTTTTGCTCTTGTTGCCCAGGCTGCAGGACAATGGCCCCATCTCTGCTCATCACAACCTCTGCCTCCTGGGCTGATTTGAACTCCCGACCTCAGGTGAACCACCCGCCTCAGTCTCCCAAAGGCTGGGATACGTGAGCCACCGTGCCTGGCCTTTTTTTTTTGGAGACCTAGTTTTGCTCCTGTCGCCCAAGCTGGAGTGTAGTGGTGCAGTCTCCGCTCACTGCAACATCCAAAGCCGTCTCCCGGGTTCAAACAATTCTCCTGCCTCAGCCTCCCGAGTAGCTGGAATCACAGGTGTGCGCCACCAGGCCCCGCTAATTTTGTATTTTAAATGACTCTCTCCACACTCGCCTTCAAAGAGCTCACCGTCTGGGCTGCAGAGAGGCCTTTTTTTTTTTGAGACAGTCTTGCTCTGTTGCCAGACTAGAGTGCACTGGCGTGATCCCTGCTCACCTGCCTCAGCCTCCCGAGTAGCTGGGACTACAGGCACCTGCCACCACCACATCTGGCTAATTTGGTATTTGTTTTTTTGAGACGGAGTTTCGCTCTAGTTACCCAGGCTGGAGTGCAATGGCGCGATCTCGGCTCACTGCAACCTCCGCCTCCTGGGTTCAGGCAATTCTCCTGCCTCAGCCTCCCGAGTAGCTGGGATTACAGGCATGCACCACCGTGCCCAGCTAATTTTTGTATTTTTAGTAGAGACGGGGTTTCACCATGTTGGCCAGGATGGTCTCGATCTCTTGACCTCGTGATCCACCCGCCTCAGCCTCCCAAAGTGCTGGGGTTACAGGCTTGAGCCGCCGTGCCCGGCCCTGGTATTTGTATTTTTAGGAGAGACAGGGTTTCTCCAAGTTGGCCAGGCTCATCTCGAACTCCTGACCTCAGATGATCTGCCTACCTCAGCCTCCCAAAGTGCTGGGATCACAGGCCTGAGCCACTGTGCCCAGCTAATTTTGCATTTTTAGTAGCGTTGGGGTTTCACCATGTTGGTCAGGCTGGTCTCGAACTCCTGACCTCAGGTGACTCCCCGACCTCAGCCTCCCAAAGTGCTGGGATCACAGGCGTGAGTGGGCACGCTCAGCCAACAACTGTAGTTTTCAAAAGGATGTATCTGGCCAGGTGCGGTTGCTCACGCCTGTGATCCCAGCACTGGAGGGTGAGGTGGGAGGATGGCTGGAGCCCAGGCAGCAGAGCAAGACGCCTGGCAGACATAAGCCTGCAGTTCCCACTAGGGTCTGAAGCAGGAGGGTCCCTTGAGCCCAGGAGGTGGAGGCTGCAGTGAGCTGTGACTGCACCACTGCACTCCAGCCCGGGCGACAGAGCGAGACCCTGTTGCAATCTGGTGACCTTCAGTCAGGGGAGAGCGGGGGCCGCATGGACCTCAGAAAGGATGGACAGTGAGTGCATCAGCCACAGGACTGTCTCCCGGCCCCTTCTGGAACCTTCCAGGCCTGTTTTGTTCCAGAGCTGGATGGCCCCAGGAAGTGAACAGCCACATGAGGGCAGGAGCCATCGTTAGGGCAGCTCCTCCTGTCACCCCGGAGCCCAGACACTGCAGCGGGGGACCTCAGGGCCCACCCATGGGCGCACAGCAGCTGCCCCAGCTATGCCGGAGCCTTCATGGGCTCATCTCAGACACTGGCACCTGAACCGGCAGGTAGCACAAGAGCCCGAGCCGGGGAGTCCCTTCCCTCCTGGGCAGAAGCCACAAAAACACAGCTGGACGGACACGGGCATGGCGCTGGCCGTGCGTGCGGCAGGGACACAGCCCTGCGGATGCCCACGCAAGCCAGGTTTCCTGCCATCTCTGTACCCTCAGGTTTTCTGCAGTGAACTCAGAGGCTGCTCTCCTGGGCACCAAGGGGCCACCAGGTGTCACTGCTCTCCCAAGCCAGCCCGTGGGCCCCTGAGCTCTGTTACCTGCAGCGAACTCCTCGATGGTCATTAGTGGGAAGCGGATGAGGCCCAGGGCCTTGCCCAGAACCTTCCGTCTGTTCTCGGGCGTCACCTGCAGCTGCTGCCGCTGACACTCGGCCTCGGACCAGCGGACGACGGCGTTGAACAGCCGCACTTCACGGATGCCCAGCGTGTCTCGCTCCAGGACGGCCACCAGCGTGTCTGCGGGTGGGGAAGGGGCGGCGTGAACAGGAGGCTCGTGTGCCCACCCTGCGGGAGGCGGGGAGACTGACGACCAGCAGTTACAGCTGCACTGGCAACTACGGCCCGTGGCCCAAACCTGGCCCTGTGCTTGTGTGTGTAAATAAAGCTTTATCGACACGACCGCACCCCTTCATTTTCCTCTGCTGTGTTGGTTTTTAAGCCCCAGGGACAGACTTGAGTAGCTTCGAGGAAAGCTGTTCAGCAACAAAGTCAACACCGCGGACCGTCAGGGGACGGGGTGGTCACCACCAGCCGGGATGGGGGCATCTGGCCTGCAGCCTTCCAGCCAAGCCCTCCTGCCAAGGCCCCAGACTCCCCTGCGGCTGTGCTGGCCCCGAGCTCCTGCCCCGCTGCAAGTGGTGAGGCCCCAGCTCACCTGGGCAGCTCCCCCAGGGACCCCCAGGCCGAAACCTCCCTCTGTCAATCCGCGGACCCTCCCGCCAAGGCCCGGCTGGGATCCCCACACCCAGGCTCCTGGGCCCTTACCCAGGTCGATGTCGGTGAAGCCCTCCGCGGTGATGGCGTCCGCAGTGTTTTTGTCGATGTTCTCCAGGCACAGGCTGGCCAGCTGTGGCTCATCGAACAGTCGCGCCTGGCAGGACACATTGAGTGGGGGGTTGGGGGCATCAGCACCCAGCCCGCGGCAGACCCCCATGCGGAGCCCTGACCTCCGCGCCTTCCTGAGCATGGCCAGGAGCCACCCGTGGCTCAGCCACCAGGCTGGCCCTGCCGTGGGCCCAGGCCCCCCGTGACCGCTGACTGGGGTGGGAGAGTCCAGGAGTTCCCTCTCAGGACCTCAGAGGTCAAGGAAGGAAGAAATAGACACCCAGGTCCCTGCCGCTTTAGGCAGAAGGGACGCTGTGGCTGCTCTCAGGGGGCAGCAGGCCCGGGACCCCGAGTGACAGGAGGAGGTGAGGCAGCTGGGGTCAACCCGGTAATGCTCCCAGACTACAAGATGACTCCTGACAGGTGACGAAGCTGGACGTCACCTGCACTCTAGGGAAACTGAGGCTGCGTTGATGGAAGGTGCAAGCAGGGCCCTGGGCTGGCCTTTCTGTGGGCCTCACCCTGAAGATCTCTCTCCAGTGGGCTGGAGGTGGTTTTAGGGGCAGGGAGGCAGAGGTAGCCACGACATGGACCCCGGGGATTGAGCTGCGGCCTCCTCTGAGGTCAGGCGGGGGCCTCTATGGCAAGGCGACTACAGATGACCCCAACAAGAAACCCCTCCCTCTGGGGGTCCCGGATCCCCTGCATCTGACCTGCCGGAATGGAGAGGGAGAAGGTTCCGGGTCCTTTCCAGGGTGCTGGACCCCCAAAGCCCATCGAAGGACCGGCACCACTGTACCCTCTGGGTGCCCCCAACCCCCGACCAGGAACTCAGGGCTCCGACGGGCCGCCCACCTGTCCTGGCCCCACCTGCTCCTCTCAGAATCCCCAGACCCCACGAACTCCCCAGACTGCAGAGCCCACCTGGGGTCCCCTGAGACTCCCAGCCATACTCTGTCTACCTGACACTTCCTCAGAGAAGGAAAATTCTTTTTTTTTTTTTCTTTTTAAATAATTTTACTTTTTTTTTAGCTGGACGTGGTGGCAGGCGCCTGTAGTCCCAGCTACTCAGGAAGCTGAGGCAGGAGAATCGCTTGAACCCTGGAGGCGGAGGATGCAGTGAGCCGAGATGGTGCCATTGCACTCCAGCCTGGGCGACAAGAGAAACTCCGTCTCAAAAAATAAAAAAATTATTTTACCTTTATTTAGAGACAGGCTCTCACTCTGTCACCCAGGCTGGAAAGCAGTGGCGTGATCTCCACCCACTGCAGCCTCAACCCCCTGGGCTCAGGCAAACCCCCTGTTTCCGTCCCCCAAGTAGCTGGGATTACAGGCACGCACCACCATGCCTTGCTAATTTATGATTTTTTTTTTTTTTTTTTTTTAAGTAGAGACAGGTTTTCACCATGTTGGCCAGGCTGGTCTTGAATGCCTGACCTCTGATGATCTGCCTGCCTCAGCCTCCCAAAGTGCTGCGGTTACGGGCATGAACCACCATGCGCGGTCTGAATGTTTTTTACATTTTTTTGTAGGGAAAAAAAACAGGGTCTCTCTATGTTGCCCAGTCTGGTCTAAAACTCCTGGCCTCAAGTGATCCTCCCAAAGTGCCGTGGCCCTTTCTAGGGTTAGCCATTGGAAAGGACCCCAAAAATTATCGGCAGGGCATTAGCCTAAGTGCCCTGCCAATAATAAAAGTATCACAGAAAGTTAAAAACACATTTTTTTAGGACAGAGTCTCGGTCACCCAGGCTGGAGTGCAATGGCGCGATCTCGGCTCACCGCAACCTCCGCCTCCTGGGTTCAAGCGATTCTCCTGCCTCAGCCTCCCGAGTAGCTGGGATTACAGGCACGCGCCACCACGCCCAGCTACTTTTTGTACTTTTAGTAGAGACGGGGTTTCTCCATGTTGACCAGGCTGGTCTCCAACTCCTGACCTTGTGATTCACCCACCTCGGCCTCCCAAAGCGCTGTGATTACAAGCGTGAGCCACCGCGCCCGGCCCAATTTATTTACTTTTTTTTTTTTTTTTGCTCTGGAGTCTTGCTGTGTCACCCAGGCTGGAGTGCAGCGGCACGATCTCGGCTCACGGCAACCTCCGCCTCCCAGGTTCAAGCGATTCTCCTGCTTCAGCCTCCCTAGCAGCTGGGAATTCAGGCGCCCTCCACCCTACCCGGCTAAATTTTGTATTTTTAATAAGATTAGGATTTCGCTACGTTAGCCAGGCTGGTCTCGAACTCTGTGACCTCAGGTGATCTGCCCTCCCAATGTGCTGGGATTACAGGCTTGAGGCACCGCCCCCAGCCAAAACATTTTACTGCCTGGATCCGCAGCTTCCTGGACCCGCCCCTTCCCCGCCCCCAGCCTTGTCCCCGCCCCAGTCCCCGCCCCCAGCCTTGTCCCCGCCCCAGGCCCCACCTCCAGCCTTGTCCCCGCCCCAGTCCCCGCCCCCAGCCTTGTCCCCGCCCCCTCCCCGCCCCCAGCCTGGGCCTGTCCCCCGTCTTGCCCCGCCCCCAGCCTGGCCTGGCCCCGCCCCCGCCTCGCGCCCGGCCCCGCCCCCTTCCCCACCCACCTGCGTGAGCAGCATGAAGGCGTTGTCTGCTCGCAGGTTCTTCTTCAGGAACTCCACGCAGTGGGCCTCGAGCGCCGGCACCGCGTACTTCTTGGCGGTGTACAGCGTGGTCATCACCGTCTCCGGGCCGATCTGCACCTCGTCCGAGTAGAGAAACCTGCAGGGACAACGCAGGGGCCATGGGATGGGACCGCCATGACCGGCCCCAGGGGAGAGTGTCAGGGGACCGCTCAGACCATCAGCCCCGCCGCCTGGGTCCAAACACCCCACGTCAGCTTCCCTGAGGAACCTTCCAGAATTAGCCCGTCGGTTGACCTCTGACCTAGAGACACGACTTGGCAACGCGATCACCCATGAAAACGAGCAAGAGGCTGAACCCGTCCACAGCACATACCCGGAAGCGTCTACACTGCGGGCCTTGTCCTGCCCGGGATGCCACTGGGGGCATCCTCCTTGGACACCTTTTCCATGAGAAACTCTTGGTTCCACACCTCAGGCCCCACCAAAAACCTCAACCGCTTCTGGGTGGATCACAGAACCCAACACGCCAGCTAGGATCGTGGATAATCGTGGACGTTATTACCATCCGCCACCGAGTGGTCCGCACCATACTGAATAGGGATCAGAAGTTGGGCTGATCAAAAATAGAAGCACAGGCTGGGTGCAGTGACTCACGCCTGTAATCCCACTTTGGGAGGCAGAGGCGGGAGGATCAGGAGGTCAGGAGATCGAGACCATCCTGGCCAACACGGTGAAACCCCGTCTCTATAAAAAATATAAAGAAAACTAGTCGGGCGTGGTGGCGCGTGTTTGCAGTGCCAGCTACTCGGGAGGCTGAGGCACGAGAATTGCTTGAAACTGGAAAACCGAAGTTGCAGTGAGTCAGGATCGCGCCACTGCACTCCAGCCTGGAGACAGAGCAAGACTCTGTCTCAAAAAAAAAAAAAAAAAAAAATAGAAGCACAGGCCGGGCGCGGTGGCTCACCCGTGTTATCCCAGCACTTTGGGAGGCCGAGGCGGGCGGATCACAAGGTCGCGATCGAGACCATCCTGGCCAACATGGTGAAACCCCGTCTCTACTAAAAAAATACAAAAATTAGCTGGGCATGGTGGTGGGCGCCTGTAGTCCCAGCTACTCGGGAGGCTGAGGCAGGAGAATTGCTTGAACCCGGGAGGTGGAGGTTGTAGTGAGCTGAGATCGTGCCATTGCACTCCAGCCTGGGCAACAGAGCAAGACTCTGTCTCAAAAAAATAATAATTATATATATACATAAAATTAGCCCGGCGTGGTGGCAGGCACCTATAATCCCAGCTACTTGGGAGGCTGAGGCAGCAGAATTGCTTGAACCCGGGAGGTGGAGGTTGCAGTGAGCCGAGATCACGCCACTCACTGCACGGCAGCCTGGCAAGGCTCTGTCTCAAAAAAAAAAAGTTGAAGTGAGGTGAGAGCTGGATCAGGCGGTGACACAGAAATGAGGGAGCTGAAAACGACAGCGCCCAGGCTCCTCCCCAGATGAACCGTGGCTCTCCTCGCGCTCTGCAGAGGGTCTGAGGGACACCTTCTGTGCTAGTGTGTTTCTCATTTTCTGTTTGTAACAGGGCAGAGGTTTCACCCAGGGCGGTCCCGCCCCCCCATGTGTACACTGGGTGATGTCCAGGGACATCTGTGTGCGGCTGCCAGGACTGGAGCGGGTACAGGCCAGGGATGCTGCTCAGGCACCCTGCAGTGCCCAGGGCGGCCCACCCCAGAGAACAATCCGGTCCCAGTGCCCACAGGGCCGAGATAAGATCTCCAGTGATTCATGTGCAGAACAAAATGAAGCCTGCTCCCTGTTCACACCAGACACCAGGATAAGCTCCCGATGGTGCGGACGGTGTAAACCTGGGGACCCCAGCTCCTGGGACTCACCTCCTCTCTCCCTCCCCACTCAGGGTACAGATTTCAATGTGTGCAGCCTCCTGGGACCCCAAGCAGGGCAGAGGATCATGGGAGGCAGAGTCTCTTGGGGGTTCGTGGAAACCCTAGCCCACGGGGGGGTCTCATATGTGGGACAGTCTGGCCCCCTGAGGACACTGGGCAGTGTCTGGGGACATCTGCAGTTGTCATAACTCGGGGAGCTCCTGGCATGGAGTGGGCGGGGGCCCGGGATGCTGCCACCCAGTGCCCAGGACGGCCCAACCCAGAGAACAATCAGACCCCAAGCATCAACAGTGCCCAGGTGGGAACCCTGAAGTGTGACAGTGCGGATACTCATGGTGACGCCGGCTTAGCCTTGTTACCCGTGCTGGTCTTGAACTGCTGGGCTCAAGAATCCCGCCCCCCTTAGCCTCCCGAAGTGCTGGAATGACAGGCGTGAGCCACCACACCTCGAGATGCTTCTAGTGCTTTGGGTATAGGGCCAGGAGCGGGACTGCTGGTCCCACGGAGATTCTGTGCTGAGCCTTTTGAGGAATTGCCAGACTCCCTTCCACAGCAGTTCCACCCCAGCCGGGACCAGCTCCCATCTCCCCACGGCCTTACCAACACTTGTCATTTACCTTAGAGACCTGGGCTCGCCCCATCACCCAGAATGGAGTGCAGTGGCGTGATCACACTTCACTGCAGCCTCAAGCTCCCAGGCTCAAGTGGGAGGCTCCTCCCTCAGCCTCCCAAGTAGCTGGGACTACAGGTGTGTGCGAACACGCCTGGCTTGTTTTTTTTTAACTCTTAGTAGAGATGGGGCCAGACACGGTGGTTCATGCCTGTAATCCCAGTACTTTGGAGGTTGAGGCGGGTGGAGGTCGGGAGTTGGAGACCAGCCTGACCAACATGGTGAAACCCCATCTCTACTAAAAATACAAAAATGGGCCGGGCGTGGTGATGCACATCTGTAATCCCAGCTACTCAGGAGGCTGAGGCAGGAGAAACGCTTGAACCCGGGAAGTGGAGGTTGCGGTGAGCCGAGATCGAGCCACTGCACTGCAGCCTGGGTGACGGAGCGAGACTCCGTGTCAATAAAATAAAATGACAGGCCGGGCGCGGTGGCTCACGCCTGTAATCCCAGCACTTTGGGAAGGTGAGGCGGGTGGATCATGAGGTGAAGAGATCGAGACCATCCTGGTCAACGTGGTGAAACCCCGTCTCTACTAAAAATACAAAAATTAGCTGGGCCTGGTGGCGCGTGCCTGTAATCCCAGCTACTCAGGAGGCTGAGGCAGGAGAATTGCCTGAACCCAGGAGGCGGAGGTTGCGGTGAGCCGAGATCGCGCCATTGCACTCCAGCCTGGGTAACAAGAGCGAGACTCCGTCTCAAAAAATAAATAAATTAAATAATGAACTAAATCAGGTTCCTCTGGAACCCCTCACGGTGCATGAACGCTGCAGAATTCCCCACTGACACGGGGGCTCTGAGCAGCTGTCGGCCAGGGTCTCCGTTCTCTGAGGTCCCTCCCAGGGCCCAGCTCCCCGGCAGGAAGCATCCGGAAGCCTCACTTGAGCAGGGCGAGGAAGGCAGCAGGTTCCACGTCAGGCAGCTCTATCTCCGTGGACGTCGTGGCCATCCCCCCATTGAACATGGCATCGAAGACGGCGCTGCCCACGGCCAGCACAAACCTGGCGTGAAAGAGAGGAGCTCCTGGTTAGAACCGCATGACTGCCACCCACGGCAGGGAGGGCCTGGCCGGTGTCCTGGGTGACCGCCCAGCAGGGCTTCCTGCCAGCCCCCGGCAGGCGTGTGCCAGGGCCCCCCCATGTCAGAGGTTTCTGGAAGGGGCCTAGGATGGCAGGAGGGCGACGCAGATGGACCGGGCAAGGCCAGGTGGGGCTGGGGTCATGCCCTGGGGTTCACAGGGCCTCATGCTCTGCCAGCCCCCACCATCCTCTGTCCTTCAAGGCGTCAGGCACGCACTCATTCACTCATTCCCACATGCATGCATTCATTCATTCGCACACACATTCATTCACTCATTCATCCACATGCACTCATGCCTCACCCACACATGCATCCACTGACTCTTCACCCCATGGGCATGGGCACACACGCACTCTCTCATTCACTTGCTCTCATTCATTCATTCATATTCATTCATTCACTCATTCATTCCTATACATAAACGTATCCACTCATTCCCACATGCACTCATCACTCATTCACTCACACACTCATCCGCTCTCCATCACTTTCCCGCTCACGCACTCCCTCACCGGCACACGCTTCCCCAGGGAGTGAGCTACAGGCACAGGGCCTGGACCCCTGAGGGAGGCAGACAAGGACCCAGTGGCCGCACAGCCCCCAGTGAGCAAGGGAAGAGAGAGAGGAGCATGGTCCTGCTGGGAACACAAGACCCAGGAAGCGCCGTGGGATCACCTGAGCCGGCCGCGTCTGTGGGGAAGGGCATGGAGGCCCAGGGAACAGCAGGAGCGTGGGAGGAGGACTGGGAGGCAGCAGGATGGCCCCCGCTGGGAAAGCGGAGGCTCTGCCAGGCGTGGAGCGCAGGCTGCCTGTGGGGCCCACCCAGCGTGGCCCACCCAGCACCTCAGATTGTCAGTATTGCAGCAGTCCAGAGGGCGCGGTGGGTACAGAGAGGCTGCTGGTGCCTCCCCGGCCTCTGCCAGAGCTGGCTGTGAACCTACGTTTGGCCAGGCTTGTGTGGGGCGGGGAGGACTCCGCGACTCCCAGGCTCAGGACGCCACCCTGTGCTGTCCACGTGCGGTCCCCAGGGCCTGCCCCACGATGGCTTCCCAGGGGGCTGAGACCACACACGGTGTGGGGGGTCATGGACACTTGGTGGGAGCACAGACACTCAGTTGGGGAGAACCCAGACACTTGGAGGGGTTCACAGACACTCAGCAGCGGGTGGTGCCGGACAGTCGGGGGTCAGGGGTTCGCAGACACTCGGCGGGCGGCGGGGGCCAGGCACTCGGGGGTGGCGGGCTCCTAGACACTCGGCCTGCTCACAGGCAGCACCTGCCCCACGACTCTGGGGTCCATGCGTCACCTCTTCCTCGCCTGTCCCTTCCAGGGCTCCCAGCACAGCAAACACTGGGCCTGCACAGCCTCCCCTTCGCGGGAGCCTCCAGGGCTGCAGGTGACCCCACGCGGACACGGCCTGGCTGGGCATCCTCCACAAACTCCGGGAGAGCCCCCGCCTCCCGGGCAGAAGCTCCTCCAGCTCCTCCCACCACACGTGCCCCCGGACCCCGCAGGCCCTCAGCCCATCTGGGGCAGCCCAGGGCTTGACTGCGGGAGTGAGGTCAGAAACCAAGGATCCCCGACCACAGCGTCCACATCTGCCCTGAACTCGGAACGCGAGGCCCTGCATGAACAGGGCCGGTCAGGATGAAGGCACCGGGGACGGCGGTGGCTGCTGTCCTTGGAAGAAGAAGAAACAGGCCAGGCACAGTGGCTCACGCCTGTCATCCCAGCATGTGGGAGGCCAAGGAGGGAGGATCGATGGAGCCCAGGAGTTTGAGACCAGCCAGGCCAACAACGCAAGACCCCATCTCTACAAAACTGAAAATCAGCCAGGCATGGTGGTGACCACCTGTACCTCCAGCTACGTGAGGGGCTGAGGCAGGAGGACGGCTTGAGCCCAGGAGGTCAAGGTTTCCGTGAGCCAAGATTATGCCACTGCACTCCAGCCTGGGCGACAGAACAAGACTGTCTGGAAAAAAAAAAGCCAGGTGCGGTGGCTCACGCCTGTAATTCCAGCACTTTGGGAAGCCGAGGCGGGCGGATCACCTGAGGTCAGGAGTTCGAGACCAGCCTGGCCCACAGGGTGAAGCCCCACCTCTACTAAAAATGCAAAAATCAGCCCTATAATCCCAGCTACTCAGGAGGCTGAGGCAGGAGAATCGCTTGAACCTGGGAGGCAGAGGTTGCAGTGAGCTGACATCGCACCATTGCTCTCCAGCCTGGGCGACAGAGCCAGACTCCAGCTCAAAAAAAGAAAGAAAGAAACAGGCCGGGTACGGTGGCTCACGCCTGTCATCCCAGCACTTTGGGAGGCCGAGGCGGGTGGATGACGAGGTCAAGAGATCGAGACCATCCTGGTCAACATGGTGAAACCCCGTCTCTACTAAAAATACAAAAATTAGCTGGGCATGGTGGCGCGTGCCTGTAATCCCAGCTACTCGGGAGGCTGAGGCAGGAGAATTGCCTGAACCCAGGAGGCGGAGGTTGCGGTGAGCCGAGATCGCGCCATTGCACTCCAGCCTGGGTAACAAGAGCGAAACTTCGTCTCAAAAAAAAATTTTTTTTTTAATGAAATTAAAATAATAATAAAAAAAAAAGAAACAGAGGGGGCAGCTGCACGGAGATGCACACGGGGACTGGAGTGGAGTGGTACAGCCAGAGGCCAAGGACATCTGGAGCCCCCAGAAGCTGGGAGGAGCAGGAGGATCCTCCCTTGAGATTCCAGAGGGAGCGCCGCCCTGGGACGCCTTGACCCACGCTCCTGGGCTCCCAGACTGGCAGAGGATGAACCCACTGAGCTTGACCCCCAGTGTGTGGGCGTTGTGACTGCCACCCACCCATCTGCCCTCCTAGCCGCGTCCTCGGGTGGGGTGGGGACCAGCCCTCGGGGCCCTGAGCTGCCATCACCCAGAATTCCCTCCCACGCGACGTTCCCGAAATAGAGTGCCTGGGCGTGGGTCTTCTCTTTCTTAACTTAAAAACGCACCTTGGTCTCCCGTGGGGAGAACCTCTGACAAGGATTCAAAAGCAGAAAGCAGGAGGCGCTGAAGGGGGCCCGGACTGGAATCACAGCCCCCACCCCGACACGGGCACATCCCCAGGCAGCTCTGCCGGTCTCTAGGGTGGGGACGCCTCCAACAACGAGCCCCTCCCTGGAGACCCCCCCCCAGCACGGGCCTTCAGGATCCCACCCCCGGGCACCGCTGCTGCCCCGTCTGCCCACGTTGAGCCTCCAGCCCCCTTCACCTGTCTGTAACCCCTTCTTCCCCTTACAAAAGAATCGAGAACATGCGGCCACACAGAAAGCACCCACAACCGCTCACAGCAGCCCCATTCCCAGCTCCGAACGGGGGGCCGCAGCCAGCATCCACCGCAGACACGGCGCGGCCACCCGCGTGTCGGAACACCACCCAGCCACAACAGGCGGGAGGCTGACGCGGTACACGGCGGGACACACCTGGAGGACGCCGCGCTCAACCAGAGAAACCAGACACAGAAGGGCAAATCCTGTGCGATGCGCTCCCCGGAGGTCCCCAAGTCCTCAGATTCACAGAGACAGAAAGCAGGGTGGGGGCCGGGCGCGGTGGCTCACACCTGTCATCCCAGCACTTTGAGAGGCCAAGGCAGGCAGATCCCCAGGTCAGCAGTTTTTGTTTTTGTTTTTTTTTTTTTTGAGACGGAGTTTCGCTCTTGTTACCCAGGCTGGGGTGCAATGGCGTGAACTCGGCTCACCGCAACCTCCGCCTCCTGGGTTCAGGCAATTCTCCTGCCTCAGCCTCCCGAGTAGCTGGGACTACAGGCACGCGCCACCATGCCCAGCTAATTTTTTTTTTTTTTTTTTTTTTTTTTTCGTAGAAATGGGGTTGCTTGGGACCTGAAAAGCACACACACAAAAAGAAAAGAAAAAGATGCTTTGCCTTTGGTTCTTGTGTGAACCTCCTGGAGCTGCTGTGGCAATGCCCCACAGACCGGGATGGGGAGAGGCCTTGTTGGTCAGGCTGGTGTCAAAATCCTGATCTCAGGTGATCCACCCACCTCAGCCTCCCAAAGTCCTGGGATTACAGGTGTGAGCCACCGTGCTGGGCCCAACTTTTTTTTTATTTGAGATGGAGTCTTTCTCTGTCGCCCAGCCTGGAGTGCAGGGGCACGATCTCCCAGGTTCAAGTGATTCTCCTGTCTCAGCCTCCCGAGTAGCTGCGACTACAGGCACGCGCCACCATGCCCAGCTAATTTTTTGTATTTTTAGTAGAGACGGGGTTTCACCATGTTGACCAGGCTGGTCTCGAACTCCTGACCTCATGATCCACCCGCCTCGGCCTCCCAAAGTGCTGGGATTTCAGGCGTGCGCCACCGCACCTGGCCCAGGTGTCCTTTATTAAATCTTCCATTTATTTTTATTTCATTTTTATTTTGTACAGGTGTGGCCTCATTCTGTCACCCAAGCCGGAGTGCGGTCACGCCACCACTGCCCGCCTCAGCCTCCTAGTAGCTGGGAACACACGTACGCACCAAAATGCCCGGCTCATCTTTCAATGTTCTGTACAGACGGGGTCTCCCTCTGTTCCCCAGACCGTTCACAAACCCCTGGGCTCAGGGCATCCTCCCAGTTCCGCTCCCAAAGACCCGCAGTTACGGGCGAACTGGTAACCGTTCCTTGAAGTTCTGTGAGCCGTTACAGCCCATTTCCACACTCAAGGACGGGGCTGGGGGGCTCCTGATTTTAGAGAGAAGTGCGGGCCCCTGGGGCCTCGTCCCCGTGACAGGCATCTGAAGTGGGGGACACGGGGCTCGGCCGGTAACTGCAGGGTCTGTGCTGAGTCCCGGTGGGGAGTGGGAGGGTGACCGACGTGTAGGATCCCAGCTGCTGTCCACAGGAGGAGGAACGCACTTGCTGTGGAAACCTACACACTTGCTAGAA